GCTGGGGCTCAGCTCCAGGCTCTGCTGTCACAGCCGGGGTGGATTTGGCTCCTGCCCTCCCTTGGAACAGATCTGTGTCTGTCTCTGGTCACACAGGTACAGCTGAGAGCAGGGCTGGGCTCGTGTTTGGTTTGGTTCTGAGAGCAAAACCGAGAGCAGGAAAACTGTCTGAAACACTCAGACACTGCTCCCTGAGGGCGAGGGGGTCAAAGCACAGGGAGAGGGGACAGCAGAGCAGCCGACCCCAAAAGGAGGGGTTTGGGATCGTGCCCTGMACGCTGCTCCTCAAATCTGAGCTGTGGGATTGGAGCTGCAGAGCTCCGGTGGGAGCTGTTCCCGTTCCTGGGGATGTTTCTGGGGATGTTTCTGGGGCAGGAGGGAAAGCAGAGAGCCCCGGGGGGCTGTGGGGTGTGTCACAGGAGGAGGAAYCATCCCCACACCTTCCTTTTGGACATTTTTTTACCCCTCCAGACTCCCTGGGACTCTCTGCCGAGACTCTCCTYGGGGCTGTCCCGTTCCGTGGCACCCAGGGTGTGTTTTGGGTCGGCGTTTTGGGAGGGAGGAGCTTTGGGATTAGCAGGGCTGATGCATCTCTCTCTGATTTCAGGAAGTGCCCTTCGCCTTTCAAAAAGAAGAAAGAAAAGCAAGGTTTGTGACAGCGCTGGGGGGACAGAGGTCCTGGCTGGGTGACACCGGTGGCTGGGGAGGGGACATCAGAGCTGGCATCCCCTCCCTTAACCTTCCTCAAGAGACATTTGAGGCAACATTTCCCTAAATCTCTAAGCAAGGAACGTGATGTGCCACGGGGTGTGGTGGGGGACAGGGAAGGGAATTCAAAATTATTCAAAATGATTCAAAATGACCAAATCCCACGCCAAACCGAGGGCTCTCCAGCAGCGCAGGAGCTGCAAACATCTGCCAGCCCTSCCAGAACGAAGCACATTCCTTTGGAATGTGGCCTTTGGACCGTGTTTGCCGGGCAGCAGAGGAAATAACAAAATTAAAACGGGGCTGACTCCTGCCAGGCCTGACAAGGAGMTCTCTGTCTGTGGCTGTGGTTCTGCCAGGAGCATCCTGCCATCCTGGGAAACCTCATTTTCCCCAAAGGAACAAGCCCAGGCTTTCTTCCTGGTGACATCAGGGCGGCATTAGGGCTGAGGGTGTGAGATGAGGTGGAAATTTGATTTATGCCCGGTGGGGGGGGCATTGAGTGGAGCAACAAACAGTTCTAACATCATCTCCTGGTGTTTGGCTTGCAGGAGCTGATGTGAAGCGTGAGATTCAGCAGCAGCAGCAGCCTGGCAGGAAGGTAAACACTCCCCAGAGGGGTTTTTTGGTCAGTGTGTGCTGAGAAGACGGAGCTGGGAGGGCACAGGGCAGGATTCAGGGCAGGATTTAGGGCTGGGAATCCTCTCAAGGTAAACACTCCCCAGAGGGTTTTTTTTTGTCAGTGTGTGCTGAGCAGACGGAGCTGGGAGGGCACAGGGCAGGATTTAGGGCTGGGAACCCTCTCACCCTGTGCAGGCTCTGATGGATGTGGGCACACTGTCCATGGTTTTTTTCACATTTTTTTGTGAGCTGCAGTGGGAGCAGCCTGAGGTGGTGCTGGGGGCAGAGTGGGGTCTGACCCAGCAGCGCAGGGAGCTCAGTTCCTTTTGTCCCCAAAGGTCCCCACGTACGAAGATGTCCCCAATGTCCCCGTCTACGCCACGGTGAGCAAGCCCAAGGGGGCTCAACAGGATGACAGCATCCACTACGCCGACATCCAGGTGTTCTCCAAGGTGCGCCAGCGCTCCGCCGCCGAGGTGAGGAGCCTGCAGCTGCAGAACGCCACGGAATACGCCACCCTCAACTTCCCCAGGGCCAGGCTGAAGTACGACAGCAAAAACGGGACCTTGGTGTGAAGGAATCCATGGCTTCCTCCTCCACCTTCAGCAGGGAAAGGAGTTCTCAGCTGTGGACGCCAGAAAACTCACGGGCGCTCTGAGAACTGGGGGTGCTGCGTGTCCCAGCGCAGATGTTCCCACTGGGGAGTTTTCCATCCCATCCTGCTGGCAGAAATCACCTCCTCCCCTCGGGGGAGCTGCCCCTGGAGCTGGCAGCCCATCCTCTGCTGGTGCTGGAGGTGCCAGAGCTGCTGCTGGGCTGCTGAAGGGTCCAGAACAGCYCTGGGYGCTGCTCCAGCCCAGCYCCAACGTGGAGCACAGAATTCAGGACTGAAGGGAGGATTTGGCCCAGGATTTGGTGTTGGTGTTACAGCTCTGAGGGTGCAGGGTGGTGTGTGAGGAGTTGGGACCTTGAGCAGTGTCTGCTGCTCTGTCTCCTTCCAACAGCTGCCCCTGGAGCTGCAGCCAGGCCCTTTCCCCAAAAATCAGTGTTCTGCAGCACAAACAGCACCCTGCAGCAAGAAATGCACAACTGGGGAGGGGCACAGAGCCATTCCTGTCACTCGTGGGCCCTTCAGGTCTTCAGGGGTGCATCCTCACCCCTCCACAAAAACCAGTGAGGAGTGAGCTCCTCCTTTTCCACAAAAAACAGTGAGGAGTGAGCTCCTCCTTTTCCACAAAAACCAGTGAGGAGTGAGCTCCTGCTTTTCCACAAAAACCAGTGAGGAGTGAGCTCCTGGCTCTGACTGGAAGCAAAACAAAAATTGGCAATTTGGCTGCAAGCCATCCCTGTATTTAGGGCAGTGCTCCAGTCCTCCCAGTCCAGCAGACGTATGCATGCCTGGGATAGTGGGAATGGAGCCTAGGATACTGGGAATGAATTCTGGATACTGGAAATGAATCCTGGGATGCTGGGAATGAATCCTGGGATACTGGGAATGTATCCTGGGATACGGGAATGGATCCTGGGATACTGGAATGAATCCTGGGCAGCTCTGGACAGGACTTTGGACTTTGCCTCCACTCTTTTCTGGTTTTGTGCTGTCAGACTCGGTTATAAACCCCTGACASGCCACGTGGTGTCACCGGACACACCTTTGGGAACCTGGATTTCAAACTGTGCCRATAATTCAGGGTGGCAGTGGTCCAAAAGGGCCAGAGCTCCCCGGGCACCCGTCAGACACCTGGCACATGGTGTTCCTCAGCAGAGCACACTGTGGGGTTATTGCAGTGTTCAGAAACGGTGCCTTTTATAAACCCTCAGAGCTCTGCATGTTCTAACTCGGCTCCGTGAGAAAAACATGAGGGAGCTCCTGCTCGTGGTGAGGAATGAAACTGCTCCGGGCTCTGGAAGTGTTTGAGGACCAATCTTCCCATTTTTCTGCGGGTTTTAATGAGCGCCCGAGCCCCTGGAATTGTTTTTCTCCCATTCCCTGAGGAGCTGCGGCTTCCACTCCACCCGCTCGGGAAGTGACAATTCCACGCTGACACTCGGGGGATTTTTGCCTGTTTTCCGGGCTTTCCACGGAAAATTGTGGAAGCCACGCGTTCTGCAATGAGGATTTTCCTTTTAAAGGACTCGGTTTTGCACTGACTATTAAAAGTTTATCTCCTCTACTCCCCGCGGTTGTCCTGTGTGCCAAACGAGTGTTGATGTACCATTAAAGCTGCAATATTTCGTTTTAAGCGATAAATCCGCGCTTTGGGCGAGGCTTTGCGGGGCCGGGGTGGGCACGGAGGGTTCTGCACCC